TATCACCGCTGATTTTGCGCAAACAATGCTTTTTGAGCTGCGGAATTTCGAATTAGCCCACTTAAATTAAATTATGTTAAGCATTTGGGGCGTTCTAGGTACTGCAATTTCGGAGTATTGAGGTATCTATCAAAATTGGCGCATACCCAGTGATTTATCGGGAGTGGCGGGTATTTTACTGCGATGGTGGATTCGGATCGTGCAGACTTGCACAGTCGGGTAGATGGTTTATACGCATGCTACAACTTGAACAAAACGTTTTTCGCGAAGTTGAAAAAAAAACTCTAGGGCAAGCAAGTTTCTGTTATTTCAGTAACTGCACTGAAAACGTTCTCCGAAGAAGTTGTTTGTGGTATGTCGGCTTCAAAATTCAACTGCGATTTTTTGGTAAATGCAGCTCGTTGAACACGTTTCCAGGTGAATAGATTTAAAGCATTTGAGCAAGAAGGATAAAAATTGAGTTGGCTAATAAAGATTTTCTTCTTGACATGCAACTTCGAAGCTCAAATAAAAACTCAAGTAACTTCACGATCCATTTTACGTTGACTATCGCTGTGGTAAGTTCCGGCATTGTAAAATAATACGTATCCGTTGCTTTCCCTGATATACAGTACTCAGCTGATCAATTTTCAATGATGTATTTCAAATGTGCGTTCATTTCTAACCTCAAAATCGCTCAAAACCGGGTGTGTAGAAGACGACGGCGAATAGCTTAAATTTGGAATCGGCTTTCATTCTCTTCAGGATATGTAGAAATCGCCTAAGAAGGCGATTTCTACATATGGCCGTGGCCGCTTCGACTAATAACCCTTTCTTTGTAAGATCTCCTACTTTAAGCAACTATAATTTGATTTTAAGACCAGTGAATTTAGCTATCATAGTACGTGAACAGCCACAGTGGCGCGTTCCTAGCCGACATGCATTTTGTAGTTTTGTATTTGTGTTTTACGTGTATCTTGAACTATATTTATCTCGAAAACATTGAAGCTGCCAACAGCGCCTATACATTAGTTTCACCTAATTGGAACGCCACTTTGAGATAGAAACTTAGGCCAAGAACCCTGTATTTGCAATGTTTGTAAAATATTAACCGAGAGCCAGGCGCTTAAATAAAGAAATTTGCCGGAACCTTGTCAAGAAGAGCAAAGTAAGAAACAAACCACTGGAACCCAGCACAGACGCCAACAGTTTTCACATACAGGCTGCTGGATGACAAGGTGCAGTCCTTTGGGCGCGAATGCGGCTTTATTGTCTGCTGGAGAGGGCCTAAGGCATACCTGCGATCCCAGTCGCGTCGTGAATTCAGTCTCGGACCTATGTTTCGAGTCCGCAGCGCACTCGCCCCCAACTGTGTGGTCCCGCCACGTCTGTGTTAGATTGACGCTGCGACGAATCGTGGGCCTTTTTTGGACTGCTATACTCTCAAAATGGGCGATGTCGTCGATAGTTCTGCACCAACGATGGGCAAATCGCTCAAATGGATTCTTTTTTGTGAGAAGTTTTGTATTTTTTGGAAATGCGAATCTCATTTAGAACTGTTTTATCTCTTATAAGCGCTTCGTCTCTGCATGAGAAAAGGATGGTCATCGAACGCTCCATCCTATTTATCTTGAAAACAACACATACGAAGTATATAGTTGCTATGCTTACCATATGCTACCCACCTCTGTGTCAGCATTCACCGTTTACTCTTCAGTAGCTGCTAGACATTGGAATATGCCCACAGCATGCATCACAAACCCAATGCAGGGCCAAGCTACGTGTCGCAATGGCCTAAGGCACTCAATGCGGCGACAGCGACTCTGTTACTCAAATAGAGAAAATTTATCAAGCACCGAAAATGTTTTTTCCGAGGGTGGATAGCAGTGTCAGGACCAGGGTCAAGCGTGGGGTGCGGCATGCCACACCTGGGGGTCGTAATGAGGAGTCAAAAGGGGAGGGGGTCGTAGTTGAGTAATCTGATAATAGTGATAACATGATATTCGTATCATATTTATAATTAGCATGTCAATTAACCCTTGTAGACAAAGTTTGAGCGAATGAAGATTCAAGATACTAGGCTACCTAAATGAAATGGTCAAATTCCAACATGGTTAACTTTATTTCAAAGGTGAATTAGCTATCCGTTTTTGCACTCATGACAAAGCACTACTCCCTCTTTGTCCACCTCAGGAATCTCGCTTCAGAAGACTTGCAAACTGTGGAATTAGAAGCCAACCAAAATCTCGTTTTTCCCATTTTTCGCTTTTGATCGCTGTGCTTTCACCAAGTATTACTTAGAGTTAAGAAGACAAGTCAGGCTCCAAATAGTCCTGTGGAATCTACAAGGTTTAGGCTATCGATTCATATAAATATTGTCCGCTAAAAATGTTTTTTTGCTACACTTAATGGGGTGCGGCACACCCCCTTAAAAGCTGCGGCAGCCGCAGCTTTTAAGGGGGTGTGCCGCACCCCATTAACTTGCCTTCAAAACCAGAAAGCGTTCCATTGCTGGTATGAGTATTGAGCACATAGCTTCTTCTTGCTACATTGGAAATCTGGAGCCAAACGTCCCACCCATAAGAAAATTATGGCCCTTTCAATATGCCCATTCAGATCAAAATCAGCCGTCAAATTACGTATGATTGTAAAGTGCAGTCACAGAAAATCGGGCGTACAGCTCTCAGAAGTCCGAAAACTCTCCAGAAAAAGATGGTGTCCTCCAGAATGTTACACTTTGAGGTCCAGAGGTTAAGAGGAGGAAGAAGGGGTCGTTTCAGGGTTTTCATGGGGGGGGGGGGAGGTTCGAAAGACTTGCGCCTGACCTCTTTCTCAACTCTGGTAATGCTATCTTAGGCATATAGTTCAGGGGGGGGGGGTCTTGTTAAGACAGCAATCAGGGGGGGGTCGTAACCAGCGATCGTGTGCCACATCCCTTGCTTGACCCTGGTCAGGACTGAATCAAGTAAAACAATTTGAAAACAGCGTCAGTGCAAAATAAAGTAGCTTGGCTTGACTTTTCACGAAGTTGCTTACTTCAATGTTCTTGAGTCTTTGGAATTTCACAGATGCAGGAGCGGGCTTTTTTCCAAATCTTATTTGATTTATATTTTCACATTCGTGCTTCATCTCATTGTCATCGACAAAATTAATGTTCGAGAATGCTGCTCAACTGTAAACACAAACACACACAGACAAACAGACAGATACGCTCTTTATTGTAAGTCATGATATTCATACTCGAATAAGTTATCATGGATTGAATGAAGAAATATTTAAACTAATCGAATAATTGAATAAATGAAATTGCGAATATCAAACTATCCGAATATTGGAACAGTCAAATATCTAAAACTTGTTGAGCACGAAATCGTTTCCATCTTGCTTTCGAATATTCGGATATCTGATTAGGTGCTTTTTCGTGACATTAAAAAATCAAATATTCAGACAAGGCATTTTCTCAACTGGCATGATAAACGATTGTTAAAATCGCTGTCTATATATTCAACTGGATTGATCAAATAACCAAATTTTTCGAATAGTTTGTTCGAATATTCGGCCTCAGCTATAGGCTCAAACTTTCGACCACCACGCGTTGCAGTCGAATGTTATGTGCGAAAGTGCCTGTTTGTTGCAGATTCTTTCGCATCTTTTAGCAGAAAAGTGGGAAGATTCAGAAAATGAGAAAAACCTCAGAATATGCAAATATCTATCCAACATGTTACAGAATATTGCATATTTTCTTGCTCTAAAGGTGCATTAGCACTTCCCCAAATCAAATTCATTCGGGCATAAACTCAACTCTGAGAGAAATACTGAGATAGAATGCGAAAAAATGCCTTAGTGGGAGAAGTCGAGTGTTCTACTACTTTCGGCCGTTTTTATGTTTCTTAGTCTATCCCCATGCTACCTGCTGAATGTTTCAAGGAATGCCTGATGCTTTGTCAGGTTTATTGCTGGCTCGTTAACTTTTAAAATTGATGTCTTTAAGCTTTGATCCCTTTTTCACAGTTTCGCAATGCTTCCGAACGCCAATTGGACAAATACATCAATGCATTACCAATTTCCTATACCAAAAAATCAAAATATGCTGCGATCAGATCGAAATTCCTTACAATAAATAGCCGCTGAGACGCATTCCTTACCAGTCCACTTTCGTTGTTTCGACGGTGTTGTTTCATTTGAAAAGACCTCATCCTTCCCAGAGCTGAAACAGTTTATTAATACTAATGCTCTTCCATGGATCAAATTTTTCGTTTAAGAGCAAAGCAGTGTTCGCACAAGGACTGACTCGTAAGAAGTTTGAATGCAAGGTCTAATAAATTTCGAAGACCCAACGATCGAATTTCTTTCTGAAAGTTCCAGCATCTAAGTTGCTCCCGTATATTCCCTCAAAGTATAGCAAAGACAGTTGTAATTTTGCTGTAACTGTTATACGAAAGGAAGTTAGGAAAATTGCTAATTCTTGGTTTTTAGAGCTAATTTTTGGTCTTTAGTCACATTTCTTGTTCCCTGACAAACAGTGCTCGCAAAAACTGAAAATCCCCAGTTTGTACTTGCGAAGATAGAAATGCTCATGTACAAGCCAACAATGATTCGTTTGCAGCATTCCATTTCTCATTTTTAGGTACGAGAAAAATACGATGTCTTTCTAAGAAAAACTCGTGCGGAGAGTATAGGCATAGGGAAGTTTGAATGGCAACATTCTTCAAAGGATTCAAGATTATATTCTTTAGCTTATTTAACGCAGAAATCATCGGGCGATTGCTTTAGTGGTACCCTGAGGGCTTGCTTTATCGAATCTTGTGTTTCTACAATTTTTTTCAATCTTTTCTTCTCGCCAATTTCTGATCTCCTGCGGTAGCATGAGGAAAGCACGAGGAACATGCAGTAATAAAGTTATCACGCAATCATCATCAGTAAGCTTGGTTAGTAAGAGTTACCTACCAGATCTATGTGAAGTAATTATTGTCTTTCTCAAATTGTACATTACTTGTCATACGGCAAATAAAAGGCATGATTGCAGAATGCGAGTACTGATCTTCTCGTTTGTTCTCTCATCATGCTACTGTTTGAACTGGATGATCCCGAGGTGGCAGACAGCTGGAGCAAGGGGATTTCTTCTTTGTAACGGTAAACCCGCTGCTCGAGCATTTATGCTTTTGTGTCAAAAAGGATGTGAGTTGAAATGCAAAGCTGAGTTCCATTTTAAATTATGATTTCAGTTTTTTCCATAAAATGCCTGGATGTCGCCGCAGCGGACAAAAATGGATTTTTCAAAATTTCAGGCACTATATTCGAGAAATCAATGAATCCACAACTCCGCATTTACTCTTGTTGCAACCGTAAATGTGTACTGTTTGTTTTTTCTTTGATGATGAACATTTACATTTCCGAAAGAACGTTGAATTACTAAGCTTACAAGATTACACGAATGATGTTCAGGATGGACTCAATCCGAAAATAAAGGAGGTCTGCATATACATTCCACCAAAGTATATACGTGGAACAAAAAAAGTATGGGAATACTGGAACGTCGAAATTGAGCTCGGCACAGAGGCCAACTTGTGCTCACATCCGTCCGCGTAATGAATAAAGTTTGTCGTCCGCAAATTTGAGTTGTACGGGACATGGATTAATGTCACATGAACACATCTCAGAAATGCATTTGTCAGGGTAATTCTATGCTTCTTCTTTTTTTTCTTCTTGTATTCTTTTAAGCTATATGAATTTAGTTTCTTGACGTCCTTTGTCCTTTTTGCAATGTTTTTAAAGTTCACATCAGGAATTCAATGGAAAGAAGAAGAGGAAAATTAAAAACACCGCGTTAGGCCAGATAAGGCATGTGCAGCGAGACTCAAAACTTTGGCCACTCCATATTTTCACGTCAGCTTTACTCACTTTTCGAGTTTTCCTGTAATTGTTCGTATCAAAATCAAGTTTTCCTGCTTGACGCTCTAAAGATTCTATCATAGGATTTTTTCGTTTAAGCGTTCTATAAAGGCGCTTGGAATCTGATTGTAAACCCGTCTGTATTACATTACTGTCTTATCACCGCTGATTTTGCGCAAACAATACTTTTGAGCTGCTGAATTTCGACTCAGCCCTCTCAAATTGAATTATGTTAAGCATTTGAGGCGTTGTATGTACTCAATTTCGGATTATTGAGGTATCTATCAAAATTGGCGCATACCCAGTGATTTCGTCGGGAGTGGCGGGTATTTTACTGCGATGGTGGATTCGGATCGTGCAGACTTGCGCAGTTGGGTAGATGGTTTATACGTATGCTACAATTTGAACAAAATTTTTTCGCGAAGTTGAAAAAATATTACAGGGCAAGCAAGTTTCTGTTATTTCCGTAACTGCTCTGAAACGTTCTCCGAAGAAGTTGTTTGTGGTATGTCGGCTTCAAAATTCAATTGCAATTTTTTGGTAACTGCAGCTCGTTAAACACGTTTCGTGAATAGATTTAAAGCATTTGAGCAAGAAGGATAAATATTGAGTTGGCTAATAAGATTTTCCTCGTGACATGCAACTTCGCAGCTCAAATAAAAACTCAAGTAACTTCACGACCCATTTTATGTTGACTATCGCTGCTAATGCAAAAGAAGTTTCCGCTTTGAAAGCGAAGCAAGCTCGCGCAGCGTACTAACTCTTAACATCGTTGCAAACTAATGAGTCCCGCCTTCCGCTTGCCAGAATAATAATGACGGTGAAAGATGTCGAGCATTAAGAATGAACTGCGGAAGGTTTTCAATTTTGAATGCTTTTTCATAAATTTGACAGCTGCTACCTTGAGAGAAAAAATTACTTTGTCAGAAAAATGAAACAGTTTTCAGATAGGTCAGCAAATTCATTGAAAGACGGTTCTAATTTGACATGACATAATTTTAACAACTCTATTTCTACTGTGCTGTAGTAGTACAAATCGAGAGGACGAGCGAGTGGTGCATTCATGGAGAACCGACGAGGTTAAGTCTCAATCGCACCATTCAGTGCCTTATTTTTTCCGGGGATATTTCTTGAATCAAGCATGTAATTGCTGACTACTGCAACTCACGTAAAGATTCATTAGTCACCAGTGGCCTCTTCGATTATGTAATACAGTGCTATCCTGCTCAAGAAAAATTATCAGTAATAACCAAATGCTTTACCTTTTTGCTTTATCTCTGAGAAACTTCCTTTGGCGAAAGCACCATCCTATAAGGTTTCTGCTTCTTTCTTTGACTTTGATTTGTCCCATTGCTCGATGTGGTCCCTTTTTTGGATGTTCTTACTTTGATATTTAAGGCTTACATGCTGTAAGTACAATGTTTTGCTTTGCTGCCTATCAACAGCTGGAATCTTTGCCTTCGCGTGGATGAGACTTTTTACAGAAAAACAAACTCAAATTTCTATAGGTTTTTGATTTTTCCATGATCTTACATTTACAATAATAACAGCAGTCACTGTGAGCTACATCTTTGTGCAGAAATCTCGTCATATGCTCTGGTAAAACCTTGGCAACTTGACCACTTACGCAGCCAATAGTTTTTGGCGCTGTTTTTGTAAAGTAGTGGACTTTTGATCACTTTTTTGGGCCTAAGTGGCTTGCGCATTTACTTGACATAAACATCCACAATTCTACAAAAAGTGGAATTACGAACCCCATTTTGCTGCCCAAATGCAAAGTGGATTTGTTTGACGCGCAGTTTCTGAGGCATCCACTCAGCGAATCTGCTCGTGCTTTTGCATGTTGGACTTTCATGCGGATAGCATGCGCTGTGCAAAATTTGAGCCCAGGAGGTTGGCTGGAACTCGCGCTATGATTTTCGTGACAGACAGACATTTACACAAACAGATACCCAAAAAACGTAAACACACTTAGCGCGTTATTATAGTGGGATATTTTCGATCTTCATTATGTGGAGCATCAGTCCGATTGGTCGGTAGGATGCGCATAATGCAGGTCACTTCTGTCCAACCTATCACGATCGTTATGCTTGTCCACCACTCGCAAAGCCCTCTCCTAGCCTTATGCGATCGAAAAGACTCAATTGCCAAAAGATGCCGCAGTGTCCACATTCCTTTGAAGACTTGCTTAGGTCATTCAGGCTCCCCTTGCCTTTCTTCGTTATTACTATAGGCCAAACCTCTCCCATAATCTTTCTGCTCACGCTTAACTGATTATGGCAGTGTCATGTTAAACGCATGTGTTTCTGTCTGCAATAGATGTAAACAATCTGCAAATAAGTTCCTGCTGTTCTCGTCTTTGTATTCTTTCCTGTGTTCCTGTGATTGCATGTCGATAAGATTTAAAGTCGTATAATTCAATGACGACTCTGTATCATACTTGGGTAATTCAAGGATTTTTCATCGAATGAATGAATATCGAATAAATTCGGGAAATCAAAAATATCGAATGAATGAATTTCGAATAAATTCGGGGAATCAAAAATATCGAATGAATGAATTTCGAATAAATTCGGGGAATCAAAAATATCGAATGAATGAATTTCGAATAAATTCGGACAATCAAAAATATCGAATGAATGAATTTCGAATAAATTCGGGGAATCAAAAATATCGAATGAATGAATTTCGAATAAATTCGGGGAATCAAAAATATCGAATGAATGAATTTCGAATAAATTCGGGGAATCAAAAATATCGAATGAATGAATTTCGAATAAATTCGGACAATCAAAAATATCGAATGAATGAATTTCGAATAAATTCGGACAATCAAAAATATCGAATGAATGAATTTCGAATAAATTCGGGGAATCAAAAATATCGAATGAATGAATTTCGAATAAATTCGGACAATCAAAAATATCGAATGAATGAATTTCGAATAAATTCGGGGAATCAAAAATATCGAATGAATGAATTTCGAATAAATTCGGACAATCAAAAATATCGAATGAATGAATATCGAACATATTCGAACATTGGATTGAATTTCGAATAGATATTCGAATGATTTATCGAATAATCAAAGCAATTACATCATAAACTTGCGACATATCTGGCTAGAGCTGATCCAATCATAATCAGCCCCCTAGTATCCCCTATACCAACTCCTAGCTCAAAATTTTCCAGTAATTGTTGAAATCGATAAAATAGATTTCGGTTTCAATCAGCATCCTCATTTACCCCCTGTACCAACTTCCAAGCTCGTAGCTCGAGGTTTTCCAAAAGTCGATAAAACTTATAAAGTAAATTTTTATCCATAATCAGCACCCTCACTTACCCCTTGTACCAACTCTCAGCCCCGCAGCTCAAACTTCCCCAAAAATCGATAAAGTCGGTCGGTCGGCATCTAGTCTACACATCAGCAAAAAGTTCATATTTTACCCATTATGGACGATCTAAAAAGCAGTCGATATAAATTTTTATGCTGTGCCCAAAAGATTCTTCATCAGGTGGTCTGAAAGAGACTGATGTACACCAGAATTAACTTTATTTCTTATCAGCATCAACAATGTAAAAGCAAAGGGCTTGCTCTTCTACATCAATTAAAATCCACATATGATTTTTTTTTACTGTCGCAAGCAGTCGGAAGAATGCGATTCTCCATACAGGTCAAACAGTCATAACGGTTGCAAGAGATGCATTACCGAGTTTTGCGAAAAAAAACGCGGACGAAGTGAGCTTGATTCTCAGCAGTTGGCTTTGCAACAAAGTCGAATAATCTGAATACGGAGCCATTCGAATAAAACATTCGAATAATTTATTCGAAACCTCGTTTTTTGATTATTCGAGTTCAAATTTTATTCGAAACTCTGTTTTTTGATTATTCGAGTTCCGAATATCACTCGAAAATGGAAGAACTCCGATTATCGAATTTCGAATACGAATATATTCGAATGTTTTATTCGAATGATCGAATTTCTATTCGATTCGGACCCAAGTATACTCTGTACTGAATCGTATGACTTGAAGCAAAATTTTGAAAAACGGTCTTAATAAAATTCTGATGTATAAATAAAAAACAAAATTTAGCCTGGCCTACTGGAATAATGTACGGCAAAATTGCCAAAGAGAGCGTAAACAAGGATCAAACAAAAAAACCATTTTACTCTTTAGACGATAGCGCAATTCCTTGAAAGTCTTAAGATGCATGATTTAGACGACGATTCTACAAAAAACTCAGCTATTTCGACCTCTTGCCGTAAAGCTAAAGTAAGTCTGCCGTATGATGCTTACGAAGGTCATCTTGTTGGCCAGCACCTTTGATAATCGCCTTGATTACATGCTCTGCAATTCCCTTAAAAGTACTCTATACCCTACTGATGAGTTCAAAAGTTCACAGCTGCTGGAGTTCATTGAGAACTAGAAACTGCGCTTCTCAAGTCTCCCACAGAAAGTTGGCACGAAAATGCTATGAATGTTATCTTGTTAAGGAGTGACTTTTAACGCCGGCGACATTGTCAGTGCTTCCAGTCGTGTCACGGCGATCAATTTGGTATACAATGTTTTGCAGAATT